CCCAGCGCTGGAGCAGGGATGGAAGTGCTGCCAATCCGGGCACTGCCACTCCTCATCCACAACACCAGTTGCTGGACAACCATCCCAGCATTTATATCCCACTAAATACAGGCAATATGTGTAAGTACTCTGTGAAACAGTATATATCAGAAATATATAAATACACTATAAAATATATAGCATACATCAAAATATATAAATATACTAATAAACATATTAATACACACTTTATATTATATAATTATATTATATAATATTGGATATTATTGTATATATCTATTTAATATATTAAATTTAAAATACCTATATACACCATAAAATATATAAAAATACATAATTATAATATATATATAAACCCCATAGAAATTATTATAAAATATAGTGTATATATAAAAATAGAGTAATCTGCTATAAAATAAAATACATAACTATACCATACAAACACCACTCCCTGTGAGGCAACAAGTGGGAAACTGTTGTCTCAGGATTCCATCACCCTTCCTGCATCCTAAAAATACCCCAAACCAAGCAAACTTCGTGCTAACCTAAAATACTCAGCTGTCTGAACAGTGTAGGTGTCACCTGCATTTTCGTGGTGGGAATTAGGACACAGAAGGGATGTAGGAAGATCATTACCAGCTCCAAGAGTTCCTCCTCCCAGACACCAAAAACACTTCCCATTCCCTATCAATTATTAATTATCCTCAGCCACGGGTACAGCCCCTTTATCCCAGTTTGCCACTGGGATGCTCTGAGGGGAAAAAAATGGGCTTTCCAGGGTTTTGCAGGAACACTTTGCCAGATGGCTGCGTTCTCCCCTCCCTCTCAGTTTCAAAAATAACTCCAGAAAGACATGGATCTCTCCCTGCTTCCTCCTGAACAACCATCCCAGCTCCCCAGGGACCCGGGAGATGGGAAACTGCCACTGACAACACACTGCAGAGCCAATTTTTATAAGGAGAAGTAGAATAGTACCGAAATATAGGTAATTAAAACCCAACAAATCCACACACAGAAGCTTTCCATGAATACTTCGGAGCCCTTCCCACAAATATGACAGTAAATACAGGGAAGATGTGACAGCAGCTGCCACGAGGGGACTCTGACGGGACACAAGCTCCCAAAAACGCCTCTGGTCAGGGCCCAGGAGGAGGAGGAGCTCCCCACACTCCCACTGGCTCCTGCAATCCCCAAATCCACACAGAATCCATCCACCAGCCCGGAATTCCCGTAAGGATTGGGACGAGGGGAGTGTTAAGGTCCCTCACACCCCCTCGGTGTGAGGGGTTCACGTCCCTCCAGGCAGTGCCAAGGAGGCTTCCATGGATCCCATGGAACAAGGGAATAACCTTGGTCCCAAGCCAGGTTTGAAGGTGTTCCAACCCCAAAAATCTGGGATAGAGCCACACGAGCAGCTTGGGGGGCTCAGCCATGGAGGCAGGACACAACACCCCAGCGCTCCCCACATGCTGGATCCTCCTCTTCTCCGCTCCCCTTTTCCCCCTCCGTGGTCAAATCCCAGCAGGACTGGGCTCAAAGCCCCTGGTCACGGGGCCGTGGGGAAGCAGGGAGCACAGGGTCCCTGTGTCAGATTTTCCTCGTGGAAATTCCCCCCCTGGAGCTCCCCAGAGGGGTCAGTGGCCGGGCTAACACCTCCCCAAATCAAGCGGATCCTGCGCCTGAACTCAGCTCGGGAAAAAATTAACTTCCCAAAGAAAACGGTGTCAAAGCAAGAGCAAAAATTCTAAAACTTCATTAAAAAAAAAACCAAAAAACCCAAACGAGCTGCTCTGGCGAGTGGGCTGGGCCTGCCCACACTCCATCATCCCCAAAATTCTCCGGGAAGCAGCGGTGACTCAGCCTGCGGCACACAGACAGCCTGGATGGAACCAGCCCTTCCCAGGAACCCCCAAATCCAGGGAATCCCGGCCCCCATGGGCAGCTGGGGGAGCTGGAGGAGGTCGGGCTCTGCTCCCAGGGAACAGGGACAGGAGGAGAGGGAACGGCCTCCAGCTGTGCCAGGGGAGGTCAGGTTGGACATCAGGAGGGATTTCCTCATGGAAGGGGCTGTCAGGCACCGTCAGCTCTGCCACTTGTTCCACAGAATCCCAGAATCCCTGGGGTGGGAAAAGCCCTCCAGGACCATCAGATCCACCCTGTGCCTGATGCCCATCTGAGGTGAAGTGACGGCAGAGGTGCAGAGAGAGAGAGCAGGGCTGGAAGAGGTGTTTCCTGAAAAGGGGTGATTTCGGCACCTCCAAGGGGGGCCATTTAGGTACCTTCCCCCCCCCCCAGAAAAAAATGGGGGTTAAAAATAGCAGCACTGACACAGCCTTAAATTTAGCAGCACAAGTGGCATCGCTGCCATAAGGGGAACCCGATCCCGCCGGGGGATCCGGTGTCGCAGCCGGCACGAGGGGTCCTGGGAGCAGCTGGAAGCAGGGGCTGGACAGGGGTGCTCTCCACTGCTCCCAGGCAGCAGGGGCTGCTTCTCCCACAGCAGCTCCCTGCCATCAACACAGCAACTTCCTTCCCTTTAATTCAGTCGACCGGACTCCTCTGCTCGTGGAAGAATGGAATGGTTTGGATGGGAAGGGACCCTGAAGCCCACCCAGTGTCACCCCCTGCCACGGGCAGGGACACCTTCCACTAGGCCAGGTTGTTCCAAGCCCCATCCAGCCTGGCCTTGGACACTTCCAGGGCTTTGGCATTCCCTTTTCCAGCTCAGACAACCTGTGACACCCCCCCAGGAACAACAAAACTCCCCCCAGTTCCCGTGAGAGCGAGCGGTGCTGCCCCTTCCCCCAGCCCTCAGGACCCAGCAGGATCCCACAGCTCCCCAGCCCACAGTTCCCCGGGCACAGGGAGAGGAGTTCCCCACTTTGGGACCTGTTTCTGCTGCATGACCGAAAAAAAAACACATCCAGAAATCGAACGGGAGGGAATTTTAAACTCCTCAGGGGGTCGCAAGCCAAAGTGCTCAGGAGTGAACAGCAGATTCTGCTCCCACGCTGCTCAGGAGGGTCAGCCTCGACCAGCCCGCTTCAAACAGACCCGAGGACACTCTAATTAGCACTTTAATTTACACCAACTCACCTCTGACACCTCCTGCCAAGGAGTCAGAGGCAACTCTAACCCTCAGCCCACATTCCCACAGGTACCCAAAAGAGCCCCGGGAGGGTTTCACTGATCCCAGGACCGGGAACACCAAGGAAGAAGCAACAAAACCCACCTTCCCACGTGTCCCACGAGCACAGACCCTCCGGGCCCCTCCCGAAGGGGCTCCAACCCGCACACCGGTCCCTCTCCAGCCCCTTCCCGCCTGTCGGGGGGCCCCAGAACCGGGAATTATTTGCTTTTCAAAGCAAAGCCGTTGCCTTGTGAGGACTCCAGAACCCTCCACGGCGCTTCCCGGCCCCGGGAAGGGCCCCGGGCTCCTCTCCCACCTGTGGCTCCTCGTCCTGCGAGCAGCGAGCCGGGACCGGGGGGGGGTTGTCCCGGGAGCTCCCGGCTGCTCCACGTGCTCCGCCGGGGGAAGGGGCTCGGGATGAGACTCCCGCGGGCAGCGGCACCGCAGCGAGTCCCGCACGGCCCGCGGACCCCGCACCGAGCGACCCCCGGCAGGGGCAGCCCCGGGCCGGGCCGTGCCCCGAGCACCGGGAAGCACCGCGGGGGACACTCGGGGACACCGCGGCAGAGTCCCCGCGGCCGCCCCCATCCCCATCGCCAACCCCTCTCCCCCCGCCCCCGCCGCACTTACCGGGCCGAGCCGGGCCCTGCGCCGCGGGGCCGCCACCCCGGGCCGGGCCGGGCCTGGGCCAGCGCGGGCCGCCCGGGCGGGGCGGCGGAGGAGGGAGGGACAGGACGGGGAGGGGGGGCGGGGGCAGGGAAGGGGGGCGGGGGGGAAGGGGCGGCCGGAACGGG